AATCCTGAAGAACAGGTTCCTCATTTTTATTCGTTGTTGCCACAGTTGGAATAACAACAGGTGCTGACACCATAGTATCTTGCACTGTCGGTGCAGCGACAGCAGGTAGTGAGAACATTGGCTCATGAATCATTGGAGTGGGCACATACACTCGCTTCTTTTCAAGGTCAATTTCTCGAGCTACCATACTCCCTCTCATCAATTCATCCTCTAGGAAGACAACGTGTCTCGTTTCCACAAACTTTGTCAGTCCCTCTGGACAGTAGAAACGAAAACATTTTGACTTTTCTGGGTAGCCAATGAAATGGCAACTTACTATTTTGGGATCTAGGTTCCCAATGTTTGGGTTAAATACTTTAGCCTCAGCAGTGCTCCCCCACACACGTAAGTGTTTAGTGAGGGTACTCTTTCTGTCCACAACTCATACGGTGTTTTGGGCACCGACTTTCTTGATACTTTATCGAGAATATGAATGGCCGTTTTCAACGCCTCCATCCACAGGCTTAACTGTAAGGTAGAGTAACTTATCATACTGTCCACCATATCCATCAGGGTACAATTAATTCTTTTAGCTACTCTATTCTGCTGAGATTCGCCCGGTGTAGAATACTGAGCTACTATGCTATTCTTTTAGGGTATGTCGACCGTAGTACTCCCCCACGGTCAGACCTGACTATCTTAATCTTTAATATCTTAAATTTATCCAATACATCTTTTCTTTCTTTGATTGGATAAATATAGCCATAATAGGAGTAATCATCTGTGAATATCATGAACGAATCATAACCATTCACACTCTTTACAGGAAAACTGACCACAGATGTCTGTGTGAATAATATGTAAAATTCCTGTGCTTTGTTTGTCATCTTTCTTTACATACTTTCCTTTTATGCATTCTCTGCATTGTTCTTAATCTGAGAGCCCTAATGGAGGAAGAATATCATTCTTAACTAGTCTTTCTATTCTCCCCCTCGAAATATGGCCTGAACGATAGTGCCATAATTTCGACAACGCATCGTGAGCTCTCTTATGCCACCATTTTCAGAGTAACACTCTGTCACCAGCTGCTTTACCAGCTGGGTAGCATATGTCTTTGAAGAGCCAGTGAACTGACTCTTTATTCTATCGAGGTACTCGGTGACCGTGTCACACTCTGGGATTGAGCCCATAATTGTAGGTTCAATCATGTTCTTTATCACAGCCAAATAATTCTTGTTGGTAGTGACCCACTTTCTATACACAAAAGTCATAGGACTATCTTTTAGGATTCAAAATCCCTCTCTTTAGTTGCCCAAGTGGCATCATTCTTTTTTGTCTCCCTCACCGGTGCCACAAACTCAGTGGAACACGGTGAGGTGACTACCCAGTCCACCTCAAACAAGATGAAAACCAGGTCAAATATTTTCTTAACATAAAATTAACACCATTTGCATGCCTTGATTCCAACGTTGGTCAAAATCAAAACATACAACTATTCTTATACACTAATTCTACATCACCGTTGGGCAGAAATAGAATTAATGCATAAATCTTTAACTTTCACAACTGTTCTTACACACTAATTCTACATCACCGTTGGGCAGAAGTAGAATTAATGTATAAATCATTAAAATTAACATATGTTCTTATACACTAATTCTACATCACCATTGGACAGAAGTAGAATTAATGCATAAATCTTTAACTTTATCAACTTTTCTTATACACTAATTCTACATCACGTTGGGTAGAAGTAGAAATAATGCATAAATCATTAACATTATCAACTTTTCTTATACATTAATTCTACATCACCGTTGGGTAGAAGTAGAATTAATGCATAAATCATTAAAATTATGATATTGTTATTAACAACGTTGGTCAGAAAATAACAACATCATGATCATGTCAAAATTCTTTTTCTCCAATTAAATACCACATTGGTTCAAAATAACTGGAGAATCAACATTTTCTTTAGCAGCGGAAAACATATACTCAATTTCTTGAATTTTACCCACAGGGAAAAAATAACTTTTCTATATTTTCTTTTGAGCCAATTTGCATTTTCAATTTTCCAGGAAATAAAACCTTTACTGGAAAATGAAAAACGAAAGAAAAATGACTCAAATTGATCACTGTACTTTTGGCCCGGCCAGCAAAACCAGCCCGGCCCAGCTATTCTCCGCGCGCGCTGCCGCACCCAGGCCACAACCTGGGCCTGAGCCGGCAAAGCCGCGTCGGTGCGCTCGCTCGCCTGGGCCGCGGTCGGCCTGATCATTTGCAGCCGTTCGATCTGATCGACGGCTCGCCCGCGCGTTTCGGGAGGTCAAAAGCCGCCGCGACCGGGTTCCTCAGAAACCCTAGTTCATTTTCCTTGCCGCTCTCTTTCTCTTCGTTCTCTCTCTGTCGCCGTTCTTTTCTCAGCGCAGCGCAAGACCGAGAGGACAGCGAGCGAGAGCGAGCAAGGCGAGCCAGGCGGTGGAGCGTCCATGGCACCGTCGCCGACCCCCTCGCCGGCGCGCGTGCTCCCTAACGGGTGAGCACGCCGCCGTCGAGCGGCCTGGCCGCGGCGCCCCCTTGGCCGAGCCCGGAGAGCCAGCTCCCTGGCTCGGCTTCTTCTCCCGTGCCAGCGAAGGGACATCCGACGCGCGGCGAGGTAGACTTTCTTCCTTTTCTTTTTGAGTTCATCCGAATGGGAAAATAGGGTTAGGGTTCAGGTTCTGACCCTGATTCGTGTTTTCTTTTTGTTTCTTTTCTTTTCTTATTTGTGCCGAATCCCCCTTTCCCCCTTCCTCGTTGCGAGTTAGGGTTAGGGTTCCGTAGAACCGATTCGGTTTTGATTCAAGATCTTCGAGATAGGCCCCTCCCCCACGGTCATTTCTTGGGTTAGGGTTCGGCTCGAAGTGCCGAGAGCCCTCTCTGTTCTCTGATCCGAATGGATCTTGTTTTCTTTTCTTTGTTTGACCGATTGGGGTGGGGGGGTTAGGGTTCCGAATCTCTTCCCTTACCCTTCTTCTTTTGGGATTAACCCTATTTGGAACGGGGTTACAAATTAGGGTTAGGGTTTCATTTTCTTTTGATTTCTTTTCCTTTTCGGAGTTCATCTGAATCTCTTCCCTTCTTCCCCTTTTTCTTTCTCCGATTTGGACTGATATCTATTTTCCGAACCGAAGGTGGGGATTAGGGTTAGGGTTAGGGTTTGTGTGCCGACCCCTGTTCTTTTCTTTCCTTCCTTTCTTTCTTTGATCCAAACACGGATCTCTTTTGTTCTTGCCGTGCGCTGGTGTAGAACAACGGTGCTATCATCTTTTCCCCCTGCGCGGTGGTGGTGATTTTTCTTTCTTCTTTTACCCGGTTAGGGTTGGATACAGAGGCAACCTTGGCTCTGATGCCATTGTTAGAATCGATGGATGTGTACCTCTCTGTGTATAACCCGTAGATGCGGCGAAGGCTCCTCGCCTTCTCAGTAGATGCACCGCAGCGGGGAGACGCCGATGCCGTCGGTGTAGAAGGCGTCCAGCGCCGCGGAGACGATCACCAGTGGCCCGGTGTAGATCCAGTGGCGCTGTGGTGACCCGTAGTGGTACGGTAGAGACCCTGCAGAGGACGGTGTCATCGGTGGGCTCATCCCGTCACTGGCAGCACGTCTTTAGATCAGTTTAGGGTTTCTCTGTAGGTGGGTGGTGGCTCCGTTGAACCTCGTAGTCCAAGCCCTCACCCCCACATTCCTTTTATGTGTGCTGTGCGACAGGGGCCCACCAACCGGATTAGGGTTGGGCTCCCCCGATCAGGGAGCAGAGATAAGGGCCCAATAGGCCGTTGGGCCTATTGGTGGAGATCAACTAACACTGTTCCTTATAATTTTAGGCGCCACCACGGTCTGCAGCCCCTCCAGCCTGGGACGTGAATCCGCCCCTGACAATATAAGTATGAAGCAAATGAAATATTTAGAACATATATTTACAATATATGTGTGAATACATATGCAACATTAAGATATAATACTTGCAATATGAAAATACTTACTGCAAGATAAGAATGAAACAGCCGAAACATTTAGAACATCTCTTACAACATATGTGTGAAACATATGAAACATTCAGATGAAAACGTTTGCAACATGCGTCTGGAGTAGATGAAACACTTTGAACAAACGCTTGCGACATGCCTATGAAACACTTTCAGCATATGCAACATCTCGATCTACTTTTATAACATCCATATAAAACACTTGCAACACACCTATGAAACATTGGAAACACTTGAAACATACATTTGCAACATGCGCTGAAAGCGTAACATCACTTTGCTGCTTGGGAATGGAGGCTCGTTGGCGCATGGCGTGTGAAGTTCATCGGTGTAGAGCTCGCCTGTGGCGCGGAGCTCGCTGCTTCGATAGAGAAGGCCACGGCAGGTCCATTGGAGAAGGTGTTGCAGCGGGTCCGTGCGCCGGAGAAGCCGCGACGGACGAGAGGCGCGGTGAAGAGGGAGGAAGACGGGTTCCCGTGCTCTGGCGCGAAGGAGATACCGATCGGTGGAGCAGAGGCGCGATGGAGAGGGAGGCGTAGTGGAGAGCATCGTTGCCGAGGCGGAGCATCGTTGCAGAGAGCTATCACGATGTTGCGGTGAGACGAGTTTTTTCTTCTTCTGTTTTTAAGAATGGTTGGATGAGCAATAAGATGCAGTTGCTGAGCTATGTTACGGTCCACTGTTAGCACCGTTCGGACGGACGGATGCTCTGGTCCCAGCATTACGGTTCTAATTCTGATTCCAAGTCAGAAAACGACGTGGCGATGCACATATAGCACGTCTTAAATTTCGTGGTAAGTTGCTACAAATATTGTACTCTTGATTCGAGCTATGAAAACGTAAGCTATATATACGTAAATGTACAGGTGAAGCGGCTTCCTTAGCAAGAGCGCCTTGTGCTGTGCTGGCCGTTAGCTTCTCACCTAGAGTCCTAATCCAAAAATCGCGTGCTCTGCTCGCACGGACTCCTCTCCGGGAAAGGGATGGAGACCATGGCCGCGCTCGCGAGGACGGCGCCGCCCCTTGCCGGGTCCACTCGCCGGCCCTCCTGCGCGCTGCGTCCAACGGCGTCCCTCTCCTTCGGCGCCGCTTCCACGACGCCCCGCGGCCGGCTCGGGCTGGGGCTGAGCACGGCGTCGGCGGGGAGCGGGAGGGCGGCCAGGGCTCGTGCTGTCCCGCGCCGCATCGTCTCCTCCTCGGTTGGTTCCCCCTGCATACTTGTGTCTGATTGTGTACTTGTATTAACTCGAGAGGGTCGCTGAAATGGTGAAGAGTTGATTTTGATTTTGCTGGTTTTCTTTTTGCTCATGTGTTCGAGGATTAGGGCCGTCTCGGAGAGTAATTTTTTATTTGTTTATGGTTTTGGTAACTTTGCTTGATCTTTTGGTATTGGATGAGCTTGAATATGGAGAATTTGTTTCGACCAGGCTAACTAGAAACTACTACTTCATAGTCTCTTACCTTTCGGATTATAATCTAGTGCCTCGTGAGTAGGTTATGCAGAGCAGCTGAACTAAAGTAAAATGCACTGCGCAATGTGACATTTTTTTTTCACCTAGGCTTTTAGCATCGATTCTTGAATTCTCTATGATTATTCTGCCATGAGTTAGGAATGAGGTGAAACTGAGCTTTTGGGCTTCCTGTCGCAGTCAATGCTGAAAGTGCACCATTCAGACATGTTCCATTTTGTAAATTATCAAGAGGACCGACGTTTTCGTCGCCAATATCAACTTTTTGAGTGGATTCATCTTCTACTTCGGCCTCATCATGTGTTGGACCTTGTGTGGCCCCAGTGTAATGTTCTCCTTGTTTCCGGTCAAAGTTTCACCTTGCTTTCTTCTGATCTGACAAATGCAAGGATACCTGTGGACTGACTGCAGGGTTGCTGAAATTATCCCACCATGTGTTGGACAGTGGACACTTGCAGTAATTTTACAATGGAAGCAAAATTTTCTCCGCCAACCTATTTTTCAACGGAAACATGATATGTGCTAATTAAATTAAATGGTTTTACACATCTTTGTGATCAACAGATCTCCAAAACATCGCAAAGGCAACTGAGTTATTTTCTAAAGATGTCAAACCTAATCTAGTCCTTCCACCAATTCTTGTTGACGCTATAGGAAACCGTTTTCTCCACACAAATCTCAGGCACATATGACTGGATAAATAGTGCTAGTAGTTTTATCCTTCTAGCCTCTGGAAGTCCAGATTCAGGTCATCAATAATTCAGGATCGAAGGCATCATACTTATTCTTTTGTTCTAATGAAACTCAATCATCTTTCTGTTTTCTACAAAGAATTTTAGAACTCATGAAATGTTCAAAAAAAATTTATGATGCTGATATCCTGTGACCTCAATTATGAGATGTTGAGCACTCTACTTTCATCTAGTTCCTTACTTATCCATAATGAGACCTTGCTTAACAAGAACTTACAATCTGTAGGAGGTTGAGCAAAGCTACATTATGATCAAACCAGATGGTGTTCAGCGTGGTCTGGTATGCATTCCCCAGTTCCCCACACCCACACTTTTCCCAGTATGGTGCTATTCCTTACCTTCTTTCATATTTCAGTTAAGATAAAACATACTGTATCTGATGCATATAGGTTGGAGATATTATTTCTCGCTTTGAGAAGAAAGGGTTTTTGTTGAAAGGCTTAAAACTGTTCCAGTGCCCCAAGGACTTGGCTCAGGTTTGCTTCCCAAAACACATTAATGTTGCAGAACTATTGTGGATCTTGCAAAGTTGCTTATCATTATCATCTTTGGTTGTCAAATATATCTCCCAGTGCTACATATTTTTGCTTAGGATCCTTATGTGTATCCTTTCTACACAGAAATACTTTTGAACTTTTATTATATTATTCATCAGTTATTCCCTTATGCCCCGTTTACTTTTGAACTTTTATTATATTATTCATCAGTTATTCCCTTATGCCCTGTTTGGATGTAGACAAATTGGAATTGAGTTTTCCCAATTCTGCTGTTTGGATGTCTTTGGCATTGCGAGATGGCATTGACCCCTCAATACCAAGGCATTCGACTACAACTAAAACTGCTCCCCTTCAATACTGAGGCAGACCCCCGTGTATTGGACAGAAACCAGAGCAGCAGGCGGTATCGGATCGGAGGAGGACTGAGGAGACGCGAAGAGTCCCGACCACCGCCGCCGCCACCGCGACTAGAGGTCCCTGCCACCGCCGCGGCCACCAGAGTCCCAACCGCCGCCACCAGAGGTTCCCTGCCTACTCCCGGCGGGAGAGCTCGCGCAGGGAGGACGGAGGAGACGCGAAGAGCTTGCGCGGGATCCATCGAGGACGAGCACTTCTTCTCAAGTCTGGCCGCCGCCGAGTGGATCGATGGGGAGCAGCAGCGAGGAGTGCTGGGATCCCCTTCTTCTCAAGTCCGGCCTTCTTCCTCAAGTCCGGCCACCGCCAAGTGCCAAGATCCCCTTCTTCCTCAAGTCCTCAAGAGCCGGATCCCCTTCTTCCTCAAGTCCGAACACCGCCTAGTGTGGGAATCCCCTTCTTCCTTAAGTCCAGCAGCAGCAGGGAGTGGAGTGCGGCGGCGGCACTAGCACCGGCAGCAGGCGTAGGTCGCGGCGCTGGTCCAGGAAGTGGAGTGCGGCGGCGTGTTCTGCAGGAGTGTTACGGGGTGGGGGAAGGAGTCAATTCAATTTGACGAGATGTACATCCAAACATTTATTTGGTATTTGCCATGTCCTTAGATTCCAAATAGCAATTTCATGTACATCCAAACATCTGATTTGGTATTGTAGCCCATTTCCAATACTACTCTGATTTGGCATTGGAACCCAATTCAATGCCAGCCATCCAATATCTACATCCAAACGGACCCTTAAAGAACTTCCTGATATTCAGTTAGTTTCATAATTTTACTGTATATCTTTGATTTTTGGCATCCTAAGTACTGATCTGATGCTGTAATAGCGCTCAATTGGCATTTTCTTCTTATATTAAGTAACAGAATGAGTTACTGCCTGAACCATATCTTTTTTTTTTTCTTTGAGTGGCTTCTCTTTCTTGCGTTCTTTTTTGTACAATCGTTGATAAAAGACATTGCCGACATCTCTCTTCTTCATTAACTTCACACTTTCATCTTTTTTTTTAACATTCACTAAAAAGCCAACGGAATCTAGTCAACCTTTCTTTAATTTTTTTCTGTACTTTGTTGGTGCACACAATGTTATGTTTTTTTTCACATCAAAATGGACCGATGACTTCATTATGTTGAATCAGCTCACATATAATTATAATACTTTTCATATACTGTCTTGTTCACCCTTCCTTTTCTCTCAGGAGCATTACAAGGATTTGAAGGATAAACCTTTCTTTCCTAAGCTGATTGATTACATAACTTCTGGTCCTGTTGTCTGCATGGTATATACTTTTCTTATGAATTAGACATATTTTTCGCAACTACACACTTTCACCAATGCAGAGTTCACAGCTACAATATTGTTCTCTATCCTGTAAGGCCTGGGAGGGTGATGGTGTTGTTGCATCAGCTCGCAAATTAATAGGAGCTACTAACCCCCTTCAAGCTGAACCAGGAACCATAAGGGGTGATCTTGCAGTTCAAACTGGAAGGTTGGCAGCCACCCTCTTCATGTCTACATATTGTAATATTTAATGATGCTACTCTCCTGTTAAACTTTGTTGGAACATGGTTACATTTTACCTGCATATATCAAATAAATTATGATGGAAGCGGAACGTTTCAGGAATGTTGTCCATGGAAGTGATAGTCCTGATAACGGCAAGCGTGAAATTGGTAAGTTCTGCAATAATTCAGTATGATTCTATGTTGCGTTTAGGTGATTTCCTGAGTCAATAATCATTTTAAACAATTGGCACAGTACTGGAATGGCAGGGTATAGTAATGTTTTGTTCAAACTTTGAGAACTGCACTGCGGATTGGATTAGTTGACATGACAATCAGGAGCAGGATTTAAAAAAAAATGAAATATATGGTGTCATGTAAATGTACTTAAGGCCCTGTTTGAATCCTTCGGATTCTGAGAATCCAGATAGAAAAAATCCTAGAATCCCACTACCCTATCCAAACAGTCTAGATTTTATTAGGGATTTTATCTCAGATATTTTTAGAATCCCAAAATCTAATAAAACTGTTGTGATTCTTTTTATCTGGATTCTCAAAATCTGACGGGGTCCAAACACCACCTTAGTGATATGCAATACATATTAGTTTGGACCTAAATTTGTTTTGGCCTGCCAGCTATTTATTCTTAACAATATGAGATGGCAAGCTCAAACTACTTTCCTACTTGCAGGTCTGTGGTTCAAAGAAGGCGAGCTCTGCCAATGGGAATCAGTTCAAACACCTTGGCTTATAGAGTAACCCTTGCTAATCATATTGAGAGTTGCATTCAATGTTTTTTTTTGTTAAACTTGATTGAAGGAGCCATGTATGAGTATGAATGTATGAGTTTAGTTCGGCTAAGTACATTAGCTCAGGAGGGCTTGAATTATCCGTACCTTTTTACCCGGAGGTTCTTTTTACAATATTGAGGATTTTCGCAATTGAAATCTTTGATCAGCTGTTCATGTTGAGAAGCTAATTTCTTCTCACATTTACATGTAAGGTCTTTGAATGAAATACAGGCAAGAAAATTGCAGACCATAGTGCATTTTGTTCCATTTCAGATACAATGGTATACATGGAACATATATATTATCATGAAGCAAAACTGAAATACCCTTCTTGCATGAGAAAGAGAAGATGTGGTTGAAAGTAAAATAGTTTTGGCATTGATGGTGAAAGTACTGTATAGCTAAAGCCGTTTATTTTGCACTGCATCAGGTGCAGTTCTTCACAGGTATGTGTCCTGAAGGTTGTCATCGGCAATAATACCCAGCAGCTTTGAAATTAGCTAGCTAATATATATGTCAGTCCTATAAATGCACACAATGACAACAGATTCTTGTCATTTGTAGTAAGAAAATAGAAGAAAAGAAAACACAAATACCATAAACACACACAATGACAATGGATTCTTATCATCTGTTAGTCTCCTACACCAAAAAGAACAAAGCATGGACATCTTTTAGTGCGACATTTGTTTTGGTTCGTCCGTCTGTCTATCCATGCGAATCGCCTCCCCCTCACCCCCGATGCCTCCCACCCCGCGCGACTCACCCACTCCCCCGACGCCTCCTATCCCACGCATGCGACGACGACTCCTCCATCTCTCATCTCACCAGGCGAGGGAGCCGCCCACCAGGTGAGGGCACCGGCCAAGGATGCCACAGCACCGCCCGCGCCACCGCGCCGTGGCTCCCGTCCGCGCCCCCTCCCCTCCCGCCTCCCCTTTCTCTCTCTCCCTCTCCCTCGGCGTGGCAGCGCGGCGGGCGGGCTGGAGCGCCACCTGCTCCTCACGCTGTGCGCAAGCTGTACGACGGCCGCCCCGGGGGTGCGGTGCAACGCCGGTGGCTGTGACCGCCGGCCGTCAGCCCCCCTGTGCGGCCTCCAGCACGCCGTTCGCGTGGCTCCTCCTTCATCCGTCTGCTCGCTGGTTTACTCCCTCCCTCCCTCTCTCACACGCTCTCTCTCTCTCCCCCTCCTTACTCTACGTGCGGTGAATCTACCATGTGCCGTGCCATTGCTTTGCGATTTGGACGCAATCCAACAGGCCAAGGTGAATTTGACCCTAGATCTCCCACTTTTCCCTTGCCAATCTACAGGGTTACTGCCTTACTGCAGATTTTTTTTGTGTTTGTCATCTGCTCGGATCAGCTGGATCTTGAGACTACCTACGTGTCGTGGCATATATCTCATGACATGACCATGTCAATGGTATTTGTTTGATTTCTTAGTACGTTGCAGTGCTCATGATTTTGCATGTCAATGATATTTGTTTGATTTTTTAGTATGCTGCAGTGCTCATGATTTTGAGGACATCACTATGTCAATTGTATTTGTCTCGTATTTTAGTGCACTGCGGTGCTCATGATTTTGGTCATGTACAATGATGAGTACACTTTCCTCTTGCTGTTAGATTAATTTGAGGGAATAGGACAGTGCTGTGATGGATACACAATAAATCTTTAGTGTTTGGTGCAGTGATCATCTATTTGCCCCGTTAAAGCAAAGGTAACCTTCATCATGTTAATTCGGCCACGTGACCCCCAATTCATTCAGGGTGTCCACATCGCCCACAATTGCTCTCCATGGCTGAGACCATGAGCATGAGCAATGTTGATTGTATTTTTTTCAGTCTCTTCCTACCTGTTCAATGATAATTGAAGCGATGGTCCATTGGTTGGGTTGCTTGGTTTTGTTTTTTTCGATGATTCCTTTTACGTCTCCCTACTATGTTGATAGCTGACACAGTCACCATGACCACTGCTGATTCTATTTTTTTTTTTGCACCTCTTTCTGCCTCTTCCATGATAACTGCGGCAATGGTCAGTTGATTGCTTCGATTTTTTTTTTGCGTCTCTTTGTGCCTATTCTATTTTTGTGTGCTTTGAAACCAGCGCGCCGGCGTCGTGCTCTGTCACTTGAAGCCTGAAAACCTGCTTATTTCAGAAGCCCTATCCTTTTGCAATTACATGTTGTGATTGTGACCTGGACAATCTGGTTTCTCTGCAGACGGGACCTGGACAATCTGGTAGAGCCGGCACTGTGATCTCTGAATTCAGAAGCAGAAGGCGGTTGGACCTGGACAATGGAGCTCTTCTGTTGCTGCACTTTGTGATGATGGTCAGTTACTGCCTGTCTGGGAGCTACAAAGTTGCAGACAAGAAAGTTTCTGACAGTCCTGGTTCATCAAAGTAAGGTACTGTACATTTATGTTCTATGGTCATAAAAATCTGTGATTTTTTTTTATTTCTTGTTCATTAGAATCCATATGTGTTTTTGGATATATTTGCTAGTACAGAGCTCATATAGTCATATATATATCTATGCTGCATTGACGAAACAGGACTCTCCTGAAGTACATGCAAATGCTGCTGAAATCCTTTATGCAGTAACTCGATGTGCCCCTCCTGCTCTTGCTGCAAAAATATGCAGGCCAAGGTTTGTCCTTTTCATTTAATTTGTTTGATTAGAAAATGCAGCTTTTTTACTTGATTATTGAGTGTGCATTGGATGGTTATTGATGTGGTGGAACCATCGAAATTTCAGCTTCCATTAATTATGTTTTTGCACTGTTATTTTATTACTTGATCATCGTTCCATGGACTGGTTGATTACACTCTGTACTGTCTATTTTTTATGGAAAATGTTCCAAACAATCATCAGAGATACTCTTAACTATTTTATTAACCTGTACCTGTTAGGAAGGGGCTGAAATTTGTTCATTTTTTTCTTAAGTGCCTTTTTTCTGTGAATAACCCATGCAGGGCGTGAAAATGTTAACAAGTGCTTTGAAGGATCCCAATGTTTCTCAATCAACAGACCTGGAGTATGGAAAAGACAATTCTGTGAAATCCTGCATTAGCAAGCTTGTGTTGAATGGCAACAAATGTGCCAACAAGGAAGAAAATGCTCCGTCTGGCTGCCCTGACGCTGTGACAAATGTGCCATATAGCTAATTCGTTTGAATTGGGCATGCAGTTGAATTCAAGGTTCCTCATTCCTTGTTTGGAAGAGGTTCTGATCACTGTACGCTCCCCACTCAACGCTGAACAGAAGCTGAACACTCTCGAGTCACTTGTTTCTGCATGATTTTTGAGCTAAACCTCTGTTCCTTCTTTCTTTTCTGTGGGCGTGCCCAACAGTGCAGGTTTGGCAAATCTGTCAACTTCTGCGAAGCTCAGGATACATGATTCTCTTGGAAACCTGCAATGCAGATGTATGATTCAAGTATAAAGGATGTTCATCACCACAAGTGTCTGGTGGTCTCTTGTTAGATTATGCAAAGGACTACCAAATAAGCCTAGAGAAGGAGGGCCTCTGCTTTATTAGTGTTGAGTTGTAAATCAGCAGGGATCCACCGTCAGGTGGTGGTGTTGCATAACCTAATGAATTGTAGATAAATATACAATATATGACATATTTCTAAAATGATGTACCCCTTTGTGAGATTGTTCTGATCAGTGACAAATGTATGGATGTTTGATGTTAAAAAACAGAGATTGGTCTGAATTAAAATGGATGTTAAAAAAAAGAAAAGAGATGTGTCATATGATTTGGATGCACAAGTCTGTTTGGAACAAATTACAATGCAAATTCAGTATGCATTTGTTTGACACCAAATAATTCAGAGCGCCATGCGCCAATAATTGAAGCAGTATTAAAATTCATCCATCCATTGAAACAGTATTAAAATTTAAAATTCATTCATCCCTACTGTTATTCACGTGTAGTTGATCAACAGATCTCAGTAACTTGAAACGAGCTCGAATTACACTTTAGAAGTGCTGATTTCAGCTAGCCAAAATTGTGATTAATTCAGTGTCAGTCCTAGCTTCCTAGGCGTATGAACTCATTTCAGCTAGCTAGCTTATCGGTGGCTCAGTGCACCTACTCCACATTCCATACCGAACGCATCAAACAGAGCGTTGTGGTACTGTTTATTTTTTTTTATTAGTATCCGAACACCCCATACGACACCCCATATAACATCTGATTTGATACCCAAAACTTTACACCCTGAATTTAAACAGGCCTTAATGACCACGACGCGCGGTGGAGGGCAGGTGCATGCAGCTTCGCTGCAGGTGCAGTGCATTGTTGCAGGTGTAGTAACTGCTTGCTACAGTATGTATATTCATTCCTTGGGTCAAGCCGATTACATTTTATTGTACCATATTTTACTATTTTAATTTAGGTGTAAGTTCTGTGTTTGATTGGTGTAAATTGATTATTCGTAAATAGGAATGGTCAAAATTATTCGTAAACAGATCAGTTCATTTGGTTTGAGTTTGCTTATTTTTGTTAATATGCATTCTGCAATTTGTATTTCTTTCTGTTCTTTTTTAATTTTTTCCAATTTGTCTTCCATAGAACTGATCCCGTAATTTTTTTATTTGTAATTTGTATGTTTTATATGATTTTCCTTGTCTTTATTCTATTTGCCTTTTCATAAATAAATCTGTTTATTTGTTTATTTTCTGGTCCCTTAGATCAGGATCTTGTGGTTTCTGCAAATCGGGTGATTCATGGCTTCAAATCATTCGATTGTGTCTGGTTGGTAAAATCGAGTGATTTTTACCCTTGTCTCACTCGGGTACGAGGATGCTATCAATCACCCGAGTTTGCACTAGACAGACCCTAAGAATTCAATAATGCTTGTTATAGGGCGTCCGTCCGACCAAACATGGACCCCTTCGTGCTCGCTTCGCGCGTCCCGCCGCCCCCTGCCCGCCCGTGCCGTTGCTCGCTCCGCGCATCCCACGCGCCCAGCGCTCCGCCCGCCCGCGCCGTTGCTCGCCCCCGTCCGCGTGCATTTGCTCCGGCTGTCGCAGCCATCTCGCAGAGCCGCCTTCACCGCGTCAGTTCGCCGCGCCACCTGAGTCATGTTGCGCTAAAAACGCGTGTTGCAAACATATGTTCTAAGTGTTTCAGAGGTATGTTTCAAGTGTTCCACATGGATGTTGCAAAGGTAGATCCAGATGTTGCACGTGTTGCAATGGTTCTACATGTATGTTGCAAAAGTTTGTCCAAAATATTTCATCTGTTTCAGACATATGCTGCAAGTGTTATAACTGGATGTTGCATATGTTGCAATGGCTATATTGCAAGTGTATTTTCAAATGTTTTATCTGTTTTTAAACGTATGTTGCAATTGTTTTATCTGAGTGTTGCAAAAATAGATCTAAATGTACGGTGATCAAGCAAGGAAGAGAGAGCTAGCACGGGAGCCATGGCTGTGTCGGATGGTAAGCTGGCGGCAGTGCTCCATTGGACGGACACGCAGGGTCTCTTTTTCGAGAATGTGCTTAGCACGTGTTTTATTAAGAAGAAGTTCAGAAACATACATGTTTAACATCACATCGTGGCGAGATGCCATTAGTGATGGGGTTAAATACAAACAAAATGCACCGTATGGCGGTGGAACGCACGCTGGTTTAATTAACTAAAAAACTAATTGTGCGACCAAACAGCCAGGACAGCGGTGTCCGCTAGGCCTGCTCAATCCGACACGGGCAGCACCCTGCCCTTGCGCGCTCCAGCCTTCGGGAACAGTACATGCATGGCGCCGCGCTTGGAGGAAGACAGCGGTTCCGCAAACGTCTCATGGAACCTCATCGCGATGGTAGGATCCGGCGTCATATGCGGCGCATTGTCAGGTCGACGCTGCAACTTGTTCACGAGAACTCGATTGGCCTGATTCTCAGGCTTGGGGTCACCGAATGCTGATTTCGCAGCGAGCCGGTCACTGCGCCTTGGCACCAGATCGCAGTCATTGCGACGCGAGACGCGCAGGCGCGGAGCAGAAGTGATGAGTGGTTCCGGGAGTGGCAGCCTGAGTGACTGGATGAACTCCGACAAAGTTTCAGCATTAGCTGTAGGCTGTCCGACAAGAGCCGTGGGTGGCTGGATGCATGGGCTTGCGCCTGCTGGCGATCAACGAAGATGGATCGCGGACGCGCAGGGTCACGTGTGCGCTGTCGTACGTGGCTCTGCTGTGGGTCCTCATCGCGCTGCTCCTAAATGGCTAAATCAACGGCATACTCGCCTACGCCATCGCCATTCGCGGACTACTTTGGGCTCAGACGGGCACGTGCGAGGGAGCTTAGTCAGGTGCGGGCACGGGAGCTCCGTCCGAACAACGCCGCGTCCGGAGCGGGGATGGGCGCGGGCCTGGGTGCTGCATCAGGCGTGGGCGCTGCGTCGGGTGCAGGCGCTGGAGCCTGGAGCCTGGAGACGCGTTAGGACAGACGCCACGTCCGGACGTCCGGCACTAGTTTCGCCCATAAGAATTTCACCAACTTATCTGTACACAAAAACAGTCCATGGACGTCAATACTTCGGAAAAGTGCTGTTCAAACTTCAACACAAGAACAAACATGTCCATGGACCATGGCATCGCTGTGTAATCAAGTTTGGAGCATGTATCAGACTGATGAATTCATCACGTGCATCACCCTATCATCTGATTGTAGATATACCATTTGCTCCGCCTAAAATGTACATACACTCCCACATGGCTCACAGAAAAGAAGTTGCAATCACATATACCTCAACGTATTAATTCATACATTGTTTTGAGGTTTGGAGAACAATCAATTATTTGTAATTCTCAATCCCCAGGTCGAAGGATTGCATCGGATACTACTTGCAGAAGCAACCGAAGGTGTGATGGTTGATGATCCAATTATTCACAAACGGACGCATACACAACTTGGCAGTACATATTATTTGCAGTATACGTAGTGATCTGTCAAACTGGAGCATTGATCAGTGCTGGTGCTGCTTGGGCTTCTTTACTATCATCACGGTGCAGTGCGCGTGATGAGCGCAGTAGTCGCTCACACTTCCAAGAACAGCCCTGAGGGGAGATTGAGGACAGTCAATAATACGAAACTGAACTGAGAACAGTAATAAGACACTTGAAGTAGATCTTTCGAAACAAAGACACTTGAAGCAGACGAGGAAAGGGATGCACTAGAGTTGAAATGTAAAGCAATGGCCATTGTAGTAAATTGTTCCCTAGAACGCAGACACAAAGTGAAAAGGATATGTATAGAAGACAGGTCCAAACGAGTGTATGGATCCTTCAAAATATAGTTATTCCTTTTGTTCTCAATAATTGGAGGTATTTGTGAGGTACTAAGTTGTAGATTAATCACAGTTCAAGGAGCAGGCTGTGCTTCGATCCATTGTCGGTTTATGTGAAATCGTACACACAAAATAATTCTTGTTTAGCCTACTTCATTAGTCATGGAACATAAAGTTTTGGTATTCTATATGTTGCCAACAAGTGCAGATATGAAATATGATTACTGGTATTCTGTTTCGCCGCATAGATGCAAAGCCACAAACCATGTGAAAAGGAAAATACAAGAAAGATAGTACTGTAGCACATGAAAAGAACATTAGCCGGTACTAATAACTTGAACACCACCGATGTGAAGGCAATTTCCAGGAGATGAGCATGTCAATTATGGTTTTCATTCATCATCTTCTTATAAATTAGCTTTTCGTTAGTGGTAGTCCTTGGAAGTTGCAACCAGTGACAGGTGAAGATGGTAACAACTCTGTAGTTGGGAAACAGGGGAGAAGAGGATAGTGAGATACTGAGATGGGAAAGACCTTTTGATGGCTCCGTAGCCATGGCTGCCGACGACGAGCATCTCGGCGTGGTGCCTCTCGACGGCCTCGCAGAGGACGTTCCTAGCGTCCCCCTCCACCGCCTCAAACACAGCGTCGCTGACCTGCACCGTACCAAGAACGTGGAATATATTAGCAAAGAGGTTGGGGGACAAAAACAAGCTGATCTCCTGCTGCTTTTACTTTTTTTATTTTAATTTGGGTTAAGTCCAATTTACACCCGCCAACTTGCAGCAAAGTTCAGATTTCAACCTCGAACTTCAAAACCGGACAACTTTGGCCCTCCAACTCTTGAAAAAGTTCAACTTTCAACCTTCTCGGCGGTTTTGAGGGTAAACGGTAACTTTTGATATTTTTTGGAGAGCCGAAATTTTATATTATTTTTTCGAGCATCTTAACGTCCTCAAATGAAAAAACTCAAAACTACAAAGTTGTAGATCTCATCGAGGTCTACAATTTACATATAAAAATTATCTTCATCCGACATCGTATTGAAGGGTTTTCTATTTTTTGAAATTTGAGTCTCATCACGTGATAAAATATGGTGCTGAAATTTTATATTATTTTTTCGAGCATCTTACTTTCCTCAAATGAAAAAACTCAAAACTACAAAGTCGTAGATCTCATCGAGGTCTACAATTTATATATAAAAATTATCTTCATCCGACATCGTATTGAAGGATTTTCTATTTTTTGAAATTTGAGTCTCATCACGCGTGAAACAATTTTGTCGCGTGATGAGACTCAAATTTTTATTTTTGTCGCGTGAAACAATTTTTATTTTTTCTTTTAATTTCGCTTCAATTCGTGCTAAGTATTATCATCACGAGCATAATTTGCATAAATGGGTCACTGCAGGTAGGTAGTAGGGATTGGATGTACTGGTACCAGTGCGCAGAGGGATTTGGCTTTGTCGATGACGCGCAGGGCGGTTTTCTTGAGGTCCGCCTCCACGTACGGCAGCACATCCGCGGCGCCTGAATGAACCGATCCATTACAATACAGCGAATCAGAGGGGTCGGAAGCCACATCTAGTGTGTGTAGCGCCGAATAAATCCGCACATGGATGATGGATTGGACGGATGGAGATCCGTACCTGGGCCGGCGAGGCCGACGGCGGAGGCGGCGGATGGCTTGGCGGTGACGACGACGAGGCGGTACTGCTGCGGCTGGGGCGCCGGCGGGAAGAAGTGCTGCAGCGCCCACTGCAGCGCGTAGAAGCTGTGGTCGCTGTCGTCGACCCCGGCCACCATCGTCATCTTCCCCGGCGGCGGCGCTTCCGTCCCCGCGTCCGCTGCAGGCGCAGACGCTGCTTCCTCCGCCATGGCTACTGGCTCCTCTCCTGTCCTCCTCGTCACGTGGATCGATGGATCCCCCTCTCCCAAGGTTGGACTTGGACAGCTAGCTCGCTCGCTCGCTTTCCTGGGTGGGTTCCTCTGCCTGACTGCTCCTACGCGAGCCTAGAAGACACGGGATAGCACTGCTACTTGTCTACTTGGCAGTGGCAGGCAGGGCACCGGTTAGCAGAGCACGCACCGCGCAGCCTCTGGCAGGTGGGGACCAGGGGTGGGCCCTGCATCCTAATAATGCAGAGGAAGTGGAATTCCTCCTGCCTCCCGCGTCTGTTTCTGTTTCGCTTCTGGCGGTCACATCAGATGTCTCCTTGTTTCACCTCACCGTTGCCAATCCAATCCAAGGTGTTTTGCTTTCCGGAATCGTCGTCGTCTCGGATAGTCGGATCCGGTGCTGCCTGCCTAATACATATGCACGCAACGGCACGATACAGCTTCCCCGTGGACGACGTACGGGTCGGGAAGAGAGCCCAGACCGAGAGACTCGTGCTGACTGCGACCCGACGCACGCACGCACGAGATGACGCCTCCACCGGCCGCTGAACCGGAACTCATCCCTATTCCTATCCGATCGAGATAGGCACACAGTTCCTCCGCGTGGCGATGATGATTGGCTCACAGCTATCCGGCCCGTTTTCTACTCAACCGCAGGCAAAAATCGTCGAGAGATGATTACAAGGGCGCTACGGGACGCCGACTCGTCAGCCAGCAAAGCTGACTGCGATCGGATTTCGGAAGGACAAATTAATTAATTAATTAATAATACTGCCAACTCACGGCCGGCCCGTAACGTGGTGCGCCTGTAGCCCGTCTCCCCCCCAACTCTTGTTGGACCGTCGTGGCCTGTATTTGCTACAGCACATGCAACTGGGCCTTGGTTCCCAATTACTATTGTTTTCTTTCTCTGTAGCATAGAATTTAGGACTGTTTGGTTGCAGCCCTATGAAAGCTGTCTAGACTAGGCAACAAGATCTCACCATACTAGACAACCAAATTTAGACGGCAACATCACTTAAAACTCAGAATTTGAAACAAGGAAATCAACTCAGCAACCAATTCTCAAATGAAATTGAAGGACACTCGTGAGACACAAAGCAGTAGTGCGTCACTGCAACCTCTAGAGGACGACTGGCCAGCGTGGATGAGAGGAGTTCCTTCTAATCATCGGAGTGCTGCAACTATGTTATGTCTAGTGCTAGAGCCATAGCATCCTCTAACACAAGACACGCGGACTACTGCAGAAAATCTTAAATGAGAAGGGCAAGCTGTCCGCCTCCGTCCAAAGGTCACGATTAATCCGGCTTTTATGGTCTCAGTTAATTAATTAACCAAGGCGGTCGATATAAGAAAACTGCCTCGGTTACCCTAAATTGCCCAGCAAACTCTTGGATTTAACTTGTAGTACATGGCCACAGTGAATGTACATTTTCCTAGATGGAACAAGGATATCTTCAAATAGAAATTCATCTGTGAAAAAATATTGCAGATGACATAGATGGGTAACTAACTCAAAGTCACCGTTGCTTGCAACAATAATATCTATGATTTAACTATTTCTATATATTGCTCATGTCAATCTTACCACAGACACTTAAGTGGATACTTTATTCTACAATATATGTCTGGGTGGAATAGATCTAAAGCCACACATATTTATACGGTGAGTATAATATACTTTATTTTAAGGTTTTGTGAGACATTTTTAAGACACAGTATTATCCATGTGACAAGCACTAATATTTACATATATACTCGAATCTGTGTACAGAATGGTATGGATATGCGGCGGAACTTATTCGTGGAATTATTGGCGCACAAAAGAAATGGATATCGGAGATTTCTTCCTGCCGATATAAAACATTATCTTAGTCGCATCACGAAAAGGTCTATACAGTAGAGTTTGTGTGCCTACGACACCGCGCTCTCCGTGACAATGTTAATTTTATGAACTTTGCTTTTTTAGATTAAATGTCTCTTTAATGTCGACATTTATTTTTACAATATTATTATTTTATCGTGCGATCCGTGTGTTTTTAGTATAAAAATTTAGCTGTCCCGTAGCAATGCATGGTGTAAGGAAAATAGACCATAGACCCATTTACTTTGGATTTTGGTGTTTGATGACCAACACAACCAAATTGGACTAATGAATTTACAAGTAATTATTTTGTAGTTCAATAGAGTGCAAGACGTGACTTGGACGAAGGTGGCATGATGATCCCATGATCAACACCATAAGCAAGACCCTAGAAGCACAAGAGAAGACCCAAGATATCAAACAAAGTCCAAGCACAAAGATGGAAACCAAGCCAGACGCAAGATCGCGAAGAAACGAGCTCGGCAGAGGTGACCGGACGTGGTGAAAGCTCTAGTTTGGTTTTGGTGAATTGATGAAACCCTAAGTGCTAACCTAGTTTATCAAGATGATTATGAGATAGGTAGCACTACTCCAAGTGATGAAGCAATGACGAAGATCATGATAATGGTGATAGCATGGTGATGATCAAATGCTTGAACTTGGAAAAGAAGAAAGAGAAAAACAAAAGGCTCAAGGCAAAGGTATAAAATGTAGGAGCCATTTTGTTTTAGTGATCAAGACACTTAGTGAGTGTGATCACATTTAGGATAGATAGCCGCATACTATTAAGAGGAGTGTAACTCGATCGAAATGCGGTTATCAAAGTGCCACTAGATGCTCTAACTCATTGCATATGCATTTAGGATCTAGTGGAATGCTAACACCCTTGAAAATATTTGTGAAAATATGCTAACACATGTGCACAAGGTGTTTGCGAGGTTGAGATGGGTTTGGGTCCTCTCTCCCCCCGAAAGAGCTTATGAGAAGGGATTCAACGCTTTGGAAAAATGAAATGTCTATTTTCTATTGCGCGGATGCAAAATTCTTGGTGGTTGGCACATTTGAGCAAGGGTGAGGAAGTTAGAGTTGAAATGGAGTTGGTCGAAATAATCTTTGGCGTCGGTCCTGTGGACCGGACGTGAATCCGTAGGCACGACGACGCTGCTGTCCGGTCGGTCATCACGACTTCAATGGCACAAAGAAGAAGGGTTGAGCACCGGACGCTGGTCTGCGTCCGGTCAAGGGTGGACTGACGCGTCCGGTCGAAGAAACATGCCTCGGGAGCTTCTTTGAAACGGCCGGACGCCGAGGCTTCAGCGTCCGGGCCGATTCAAGGAGCAGCGTCCGGTCGAGGTGATGACCGTTGAGTCTGGACACGTGGTCGACATCGGCCGGACGGACGCCGAGAGCGTCGGTCGGTCGGTCGACTGAGCGGCGTCCGGTCGTAACGCTGCTTTTGCCCAAAGTGAAGGGGTATAACGGCTCTATTTGATGGGGGGCTCTATTTATAGCCCCATGGCCGCTCAAGGAGAACTCTTGCACATTTTCATTGACATAGCAAGCTTGTGAGCCTAGCCAAAGGACTCCCACTCATCTACATCATTGATTAATCATCATAGTGAGATTGGGAGTGATCAAGTGCATTGCTTGAGTGATTGCATCTAGAGGCACTTGGTGATTGTGTTTCATTGCGGATTTCGCTTGTTACTCTTGGTGGTTGCCGCCACCTAGGCGGCTTGGAGCAGCAAGGATCGTTGAGTGGAGGAGGTGATTGTCTCCGACTCCGATCGTGGTGATTGTGAAGGGTTCTTGACCTTTCCCCGGCGGAGCGCCAAAAGGTACTCTAGTAAATTGCTTGTGGCTTGTGTGATCCTCATCTTGTGTTGGTTGTGCGGCACCCTATTGAGGGTTTGGCGAGTGATGCCAATTAGCGCGTGAACCTCCAAGTGAGTGAATCGCCACAACGAGGACTAGCTTGCCGGCAAGCAAGTGAACCTCGGTAAAAATCATTGTGTTCATCATTTGATTCCGAGGTGATTGGTCATCATTGTTATTCATCTTCGTGATTGATTGGTTCATTCATCTACACGGCGGTATAACCCTCTTGATCACTCTCTTTACTTTTCACGTAAACTAGTTGACAAGCTCTTTAGTGTAGCTAGTTGTGAGAGCTTGCATGCTTGGTTGGTGTGGCTCTTTAGTTAGCCTTTGAGAGCACACTAACATAGGGTAGTGTCATTGCTCTTGTGTGAATTGACACTATCTAAACTAGAATTGTGGTAGGTGGCTTGCATTTTTGAGTAGGCTAGCGCAACACTTTTCGCCGCCTCATAATTGTCTAACCATTTGGTTAAGTGTTGTTGTAGAAATTTTATTAGGCTATTCACCCCCCTCTAGCCATTAGGACCTTTCAAGTGGTATCGGAGCCGAGGTCACCGTTAATTTGAGGCTTAACAACCTTCGGTGTAAAATGGCTCAAATCAACAACACCAAGAAGCCACCCCAATTTGATGGCTCAAATTATTCATATTGGAAGTCAAAGATGACTACACACATCAAGTCAATCAATAGAAAGGTGTGGAAGGTGGTAGAAACTAAAATTGAGATTGATGATCAGGAGAATCCCACCACTTACCGAAGAAGTACTTCTCCAAAACAATGATATTGCTCTAAGTGCCATTCATGATGCAATTGATGCAAGAACTTTTGAGCAAATCAAGAATATTGAGATGGCACATGAGGCTTGGAAGAAGTTGGAAGAATCTTTTGAGGGTACTCAAGCCGTGAAGGGTGCAAAAGCTTATATTCTCAAAGAGAAGTTTGCGAGCTTCAAAATGAAGGAAGATGAGAGTGTGTGGGACATGTTCCACCGGATGGAAGTGATTGTCAATGATCTCAAGGCACTCGGTGAGAACATAGAGGACAAAGACTTCTCAAATAAGTTCTTGAGATGTTTGCCCGCAAGATTCAAGATATTGGTCACCTTGCTAGTAAGGAGTGGTTTGAACACAATGACACCAAACCAAGTCTTGGGAGATATCATGACCGATGATGCCTATAGAGATGATGATGAGAAGGAAGAAAAGAAAGAAAAGAAAGATGAGAAGAAGGATGA